CGGAGAATTGCTTACCAAGAATGCTTTGATTTCATATATTTCAATATTAAACTGAATATTAACTGTTATCATCGAAAAGAATTAATTTTCTTAAATGCAGAATAAGCAGTGTGTCAATATCAATGTCACTTTTTTTCGTTGACTGCAGTTCCTTCTATGTCCTATTTGTTCTCTAAATGAGCCAAAATTGTCAGAAATTAACNTCAACATTGCGAAAGCGAATTGGTACAGTGTGCATTCCAACCACATTTTCTGTATTTACAGGTCTGGTTTGATGTGGGCAAATGAAAGTCGATGTTGTTGCGACTGTGTAGCAATTACACACATTCTCTTTTAGCTCAACCTTTGTTAGTTTAACTTTTTTTTTGTTAGTTGAATCATCATTAGGTTGTATAAGCAAAAGAGCATTATTTTCTTCTATACTATGAAGTTTACGTTTTTCCCGCTTTCGATTAGCTTTCGCATTGAGTTGCGACTTTTTAGTAATGTTAGGTCTTTTCTTTTTAGGCATTACTTGTAAATAAACAAATCGAATTAAGATTTAAAACCAGATTAAACTTACGAATTAACGTTTTAGAAAACAAATAATCAGATTAATCAATATATCAATACGAAATAAGTTGAGATGTTGTAAAACTGAAGAATGAAATTCTAACTATTTTGTGATTGGTTGCATCTCTGAAAAAGAAAATTCAGACTTGTAAATCGCTTTTTTAAGCTTGCCGTTTTCAGACATGTGATTGGCTGTTGTGAACGGCGGTTATTCTTCATTATTAACTGCAAAATCGTGCTTTAAAACTAAAATAAATAAAAATTTAAAATTATGTAAAAGATTTGAATGCCCTAAATGTCTTCCCTGAAAGATTCTGAATGAATTGATTCCTTAATCTTAGATTTTCATCACGTAGTTAAAAAGTTTTTCAGGGGACAAAATTAACTGCAAAAACTTTTTTTTAGAATAGAGAGATGACTACATTTATGAAAACAATCTGTTACATTTATTTTGTCATTTTAAAAATCAAGAGAAAAAAAAAAGAAATCACGATTTTAAATTAAAATTATGATTTTATTAATTTAAACTTTGTTTTAATAGTTAAAGTACCTTCACAAATTCAGCTTTAGGAAAAAAGGTAAAATAATTTCATAAAATACTTTTTTCTTAAAATTTTATTTTTGTGTCTCGTAAGAAATGATAAATCCATATTTTTACCATATTTGTGATGCTTTTTAATATAATTTTTAATTTTCAGAAATTATGTCTAAATTTTCACAAAATAGGTACCTCTCAGAAAAACCTACACAGACCCCTGAAGTATTGTTTAAATTCTCTATTTCATCTAGTCTTTAAATTTCAATCATGCATTTGTTTCAAAATGGTTGCTAGCATTCAAAGCTATGTATTATAATGAAAAATTATTTTAGTAAGTTCGGAGCTTCTAAAATATTGTTATAATATAGTTTTAATATAAATTTAATTTGGATTAAACATTTATAAAGTTCTTTTAATCATAAATTAAAGTTCTTACAGTGTATTTGAATAAAAATAAAAAAAAAACTGATTTAAATCAAAAAAATCTGACTTTTTTTTTTTTTTTTAAATCAAAAAAAATCACGAACCCTGCATATAATCCAAGAAGGAATGTACTAGCAGAATTTTAAAAGTTCAAAATAAATAATTTTAGAACCAAAGATTGCAAACACACTAATGAAATAAATGATGCCATGTGTTTATCTATAAATTAAAATAAAATATCTTTTAATCTTTTTATTAAATTAATCTCATTCTAACTTTTATTATTACACAAAATATTTTTTTAAAAAAAAGCAGAAAAATCTGTATTATAAAAAATACTATCAATATTTTAAAAAAAAGGTAATAGTAGCTTCATGAAAAATTCCTGAAATTTTAGCTGGGGAAAAAATGCATGTCGGAAGTATATATTTAATGATTTCGGGTAATTAAAGCTTTTAAAAAACTAAATCCTAAGTATAATTTTCATAAATGAGAAATTTAAACACATTTCTTTAATTTTATTTCATGAAAGTTTAATAACACAGGCCTGCGATGAAAAAAATACAAGGGGTCTGATAGCTGAACTTAATGTTATTTTTGGTGAAATGGAAAATAATAATGAAAAATTTCTATCACGTCACGTTTTTTAGAAAAATTCAATTTTACTGGAATTTTTATGAGCATTTACCATAAAAAAAATTTTCGTTTTTGATTTCCTTCCCTTTTTGACTGACCAACATTCTACTTTGGTTAAATCTACAAAAGTACCCCTCTATCACTACTTCCTGCCACAGTCCTTCTCTCTGTCACAATCTCTCTCTACTAATAGCGTCGCGAGAATCCTTATCTAGGTTCGCTGACCTCTCAGAAACACTAGCAAACTTAACAGGGAGTTATTTTAAAGTCTGCTTTTTTCTGTGCGTTTCGTGAAACATGGCTTTGAGTTCGAGACATTGTGAAAATTTCCCAGATGACTATTGTTATATATGCAGTGAATGCAGTGTTGTTAAAAATCACATGAGGAGCATTACAGACTATGTAAGACAACTTCATCTCGCATATTTTGGCATGAAACTCTGAGATCATGACAAATCTTGTGTGCCTCATAAAGTTTGTGTGCAGTGTCTCAATGATCTACGCTTATGGCATCAAGGAAAGAAGACTGCTTTACGAATTGGAATTCCTACGACGTGGAAGGAGCCCCAAAACCACTTTGATGATTGTTATTTTTGTTCCTGCCATGTTCGTGGGTATAACCGGAAAAATCAAAGACTTAATATCTTATCCTGATAGCATTCCATCGGCCACATGCCCCTGACCTCATGGATCTGATGTGCCTGTGCCTTTGCCTCCAACTGAATTGCCAATCATCTCTTCAAAGTCTTCAGACTCGGAACAGAAATTCAAGGCTCCGATATCTAATATAGGCCATCTGTTGCCGGTTCACCTCAGCCCTTTTCTCAGTTTGAGCTTAATGATCTGACTAGAGATCTTGGCCTTTTGAAACAGGCAGCTGAATTGTTAGGCTCCAGACTGAAGGAAAAAAACTTATTGGCCAAAGGAACATCTTTTCATTGGTACAGGAATCGTGAAAGGAATTTATTAAGTACTTTGATGAAGAGGAGAACTTGGCCTATTGTTATGATGTTCCTGGATTGATGAGCAAATTTAATGTCATCTACGATAAAGATGAGTGGAGACTGTTTATAGATTCATCTACAAGAAGCCTCAATGCTGTTCTTCTTCAACATGGGAGCCAGTATGCATTAGTACTAGTTGGACACTCAGTATATTTAAAAGAATGCTACGAAAACCTGGCTCTCGTCCTGGACAAAATAAAATATATCGACCACAGTTGGACCATTTGCGGTGATTTGAAAGTTATCTCCATGCTTCTTGGTCAATAAGGGGGATTTGCAAAGTACCCATGTTTCATTTGTGAGTGGGACAGCTGTGACAAGACTCAACATTGGGTCAAAAAAGAATGGCCGAAAAGACAAAATCTTGACCCAGGCACCAAGAACTTTATTCAAAACAGCTTAGTTGATCTGGAAAAAGTATTGTTACCTCGCTACATATAAAATTAGGTGTAATGAAGCAGTTTGTCAAGGGTGCTCCAAACGATGGCAATTGTTTCAAATACCTGTGCAAAGTTTCCAGGTTTATCCCAAGCTAAGTTGAAAGAAGGAATATTTGTTGGTCCAGATACTCCGCAAACTCATGAAGGATAAAAAATTTGAGACTAACATGACAGCAACGGAAAAAGAAGCTTGGGTTGCTTTCAGAGATGTCGTCAGTAAATTTCTGGGTAATTACAGGGATCCTGATTATAAGGAAATTGTAATGAAAATGCTGGACAAATTTAAAACGTTGGATTGCTCCATGAGTGTAAAAGTGCATTTCCTTCACTCACATGTGGACTTTTGCCCTGAGAATTTAGGAGCAGTCAGCGAAGAACAAGGGGAAAGGTTCCATCAAGATATCAGAGATATGGAGCGTAAATATCAAGGAAGATGGGACAAGAACATGCTTGCTGACTACTGTCGGATGATAGCCCGGAATAAACCTGAGATTAAGCATAAAAGAAGATCATCAAAAATAAGTTTCAGAGGAAAACGAGTATGTACTTAAATAGAAACTTTTCTCTTTTGTTTGTTTTATTATTTGTTTCAAACTTTCATGTACACATACACAATGTTTGTTATTTTTGGTTAATCATCAATTTCACGTAAGTTATCTCAATAAAAACAAATTTAAATGGTATGTTGGTGATTTTCTTCTAGAAACTGATGTAAAAAGTTTGAACACAAGGAACTTATTGTTTTTCTCTCGACCAGAGGTGGCTTGTGCGGTCTGGTAACAGCATTTCTTATTCATTTTAACCTTCAAAAAATTAGCTGACAGTTAAAAAATCAATTTTCTTTCACAAGATTAAATTTTACATAGATCAAAATGAATGACGAGAACAGTTACCGGATAGTACATGCAAAATTGTTTGAGAGAATTCCTTTCCAAATAGGATTTTAGTAATAACATTAATATCGATTTTATAAAAAATCCTGATGTGATTGGGAAAAATTATTGTCATTTTCGAAATCAGCTTATCAAATAACATAGATAACATATAAATCAACAATAATTTCTCTTGTATTTTTCAAAAAGTTCGATTTCGCAGGCTTGTGTAATTACATAAAGTATAAATTAATAAATTTATTAAGATTAATTGACATAATAAATCAAAATTATGAACCATATTATTTAAAGACATTAAAATACATATAAACATTACACAACAACATTAATAGAGATAGATTTTAATTCTTGACACAAATTTGGACAATTTTAAAGGGCCCTAAAATTGTTTCTCAAAATTAAGGAGGTCTAAAGGATTGTACCAAGCCTTATAATATTTAAACAATAAAAATATGCTCAAAATAATATTTTTAATACAAGGTAAAAATCATAAAATAAAATTAATGAAACTTACACAGTAATCCTTAAACATACAATCACCAGATGAAAATCATAAAAGAAAAAAAATGAAAATTATTATGTGTAGAGAAAAAAATAAAAAGGTATCAAAAGAACACACAAAATAAATAGGATTGAAACAAAACAAATACAATTTTTTTAATAATTGTTATTAAATAATAAAAATCATACACAAATAAGTGTCTTATTGCTACTCCTATTCTCTAAGCTAATTAGGTGGCCTCATACAGCAAAAATATATAAAAATTATAATCTTGCATATAGTTTTAAGTGATTAATGGGTTGAAAAATGAAGAACTATTTTAATGTGCAAAACACATAGAAATTCTGTTCCAACACTGATTTACAGAAATAGTTTTCACACTTTATAAAAGCTATTTTTTTTACATTATAAAGAACAATATTTTAACTTCACAGGTTTATAAATTATTCAAGAGTCAGTTTTTTTTTAAGAAATTGGGAAAGAAAATTTTTATTGAGAGAAATTTATATGACAAATAATGGATATAAGAAGAAAGTTATAAAAATTATTATTCATAAGAAACTATTACATTGTAAACAAACTATATAACCACTAAACGAATTGAAAACGTAGTTAAAAAGAAAAATCACTGTATATGCAATTAAGATAGAACCATTAGCATCTAAAATGATTATGGGACACCAATAGTCAATATAATTAATAGTCAATATATGAGACAAATAGGTGATTAGGTTACAAAAGTTTTGCTTCTTTATATTATACAGGATAAATTTTCTTCTTGATAATTGAGGTCAACTTGACAGGTTTCACTGTATCAGAAATGATTCTAAAAATGACGCATCCTCTCTATGAGTTTACTACCTGTCTAAATTGACCACTATAGCAATTTATCCCAAGTAGTTTCACTTTAACGTAAACAAAAAAATTAAAAGTTTTCAACAGATACAAAAGTATGATGGAAATTTTATAAATATTTTTCATATAAATTAGCAAGGAATTTAGGTCTAACACACAATGAAGTAGTCTAATTTTCTAAACTACTACCACTTCTGAAGCACTTATTTTTTATCTTTTAAAAGTATTATTTTTTTAATCTAAGAACTAGTATTTTCAGTAACAAAATCATAAGCAAGACTCACCTCAGCATTGTAAAATTTAGTCTTGACATCTAATGGTTTTGATACCTAAAAATAGAAACAATTTTGGAAGAATAAAGAACTATGAGAAAAATGCATAGCTAAAAAAATTGAAAATAAATACACGCATTATTTTCTTTCTTAAATACTAAAAACTTAGTTTTTAGACTTAAAGCAAATATTTCTGATGCATGATATATATATGCAATGTATACATATATTTATATTTATACACACACTCACATTTAATATATGTTACCTGAAATTTAAAGAATTTCCTAAAATGCATTTTTTCACCATTTACAGTAGTGTAGCTCACAGTACAAGCTAAACTGAAAATATAAACAACAAAAATTATTAAATTTGTTATAAAAATTACTAATTTATTGAATTTTTAAGCCCAAAAATTTATAAAGAACATTTCAAATACTTACATATGAGTACCTATTTCTTTGACCTCATGGTGAATTACATCATCAACGCTATGATCAGGATTTAATTCAGTGAAAGTACTGTAATTTCCTCGTTGGCCAGCTAAAACAATCTTTTGCATTCCAATTTGAAGGTCAGCCTGAAATTAGATAAATACATTTCAAAACTAAAATAAACTAAATGGCAAAAAAATCAATTAAATTAAAAACATATATTATTTTTGTTAAGTTAAAAGTTTTAAAGACAAATTCAAGTTCTTTTGTTTCTTATTCAATGATCAATTTAAAATACTTATTTTGAAGTAAAGACAGTTTAGTTTTGAAAAAGGTAATTATTGGTGGTAGATGCACCTAAATATTACTCGCTCTAAATGGCACTTTATTTTGCAATTTTCACTTATTATTATTTCTTGCTTAATCACACTCATCTTTAATAGTAGTCACTTGCTAATTATCATAAAACACTTATCTCTAATATAATGCATAAACAAATAATCAAAAGAAGTTTTTAAAATTTAAATTATACTCTTCACTCTTTTTTTTATACTTAATTCATTCATATTTCGACCCGTTAAAATACCACACATTTATTACTAACCTATATACAGATTAAGCTTTTGAACATTTGTTCAATTGTAATAAAACTGAAATCAAAATATGAACTTTAAAATCAAAAGTAAAAATGTTTTAATTGGAGCAAATGCAAAGAAAGTTAAATTTAAAAAAAAAAAGGAATATTATTAAATAAAAATTTAAACAAAAGATTCTAATGCAAAACTCAACAGAATTACTAAAAAAACAGTGTAAAAAATGCCACAAGTTAATAAAAACTAGACAGATTATTTATTTAAAAAAGTGTATTTCTTGAGACATCCACAATTTTAGGCATTAACATTTTGTTAGACTGAAAAAACACATAAAATTTTAAAAAAATTAAAGACATGTACTGAAGTTTGTAATACAGGAACAACATTCTTGACACATTTTATTTTTATATATTCAATTTTAATTTATGGTATGTATATAAAAAAAAGTACCTGTACATGAACAGCAGTGACTTTCTGTTGACTATCATTATGTACACTCATGTAACAGGAAAATGTTTCACCTAAATATATATTCCTGTAAAAAAAATATTTTATCATTGAATCTAAATTGATGAAAATATTAATAGACAACTTGAACATACAATGGGTTCAAAAAAATCACTTAATAAAAAGTTAAAGTGTGTTAGAAACTTGATTCTCTTTAATTTATTTGAAACTAACAGAAAAATTAAATTCCTTTTTCACTTTTACTTTTTATTCTTCATGTAAATATTCAATGGTAATTCCAAAACCTAAGTTAATTCTTATCTTAGTATTAAAGAAGGAACTATGAATATATTTTCAAAGATTTTTTCTAATTGTCCTAATTAGAATAATAAAAGACTAGTTTATTTAATATTTTTATTTTATAAATATGTGCGTGTGTTGACAAGGACCTACAACCGAGGACACACCGGTAACCGAGGACCTCGTGCCAACCGAGTACGTTCTTGGTTAGAAAATGCTATTTTCGGACTCGAGGGGTCATGAAATAGTCCCAGAAAATTTTTTAGCAATATCTAATTTTATTCTCGATTGGCAGTGTTTATAAACACTATGTATAATGAGCCGAGTCGAAGTGTGTATGCGTGCAAAAACGACGTCCTCGGTTGGTCGATAAAACCACAAGTTCAGCGGGGGTCCTCGTTTGCACCGAGAAACTGCCTACTCGGAAACACTCACCCCCGTCTTTTTCGTATTTAACAAATAAGCATGAAATAAATTAAGGAAATGCTTAAACATATTTACACACTTGGTTAACAGACATTTTATCAGTTAAATGTATATGAAAGTTCATCATTTAATGTATAGGAATAAATAATTGTTCCTATTTGAAAAATTATCACATCCATAATTTAATTACTTTTTTAATATGTAAGAAATGCATAGAAACGTTTTCAGACAATTTTAAGAGAAATTAATGATTTTCTTCACTTTTATTTTACTGAAGGTGCTTGTGTGTTTGTAACGAAGAACTTGTTAATGAAAAATAATGCAGTTATCTAGTCATTATAAATTGAAATATAGTGATTTAAGTTTAAATAGTTATCTTAAAAAGCTCTTCTTTTTTGATTATTTCTTTAAGTTTAACATAAATTACTTTTTTAAAAAACAGCTTTTTAGAAATTCGGCTTACACATATTTCAATGTTTACCCCCTTTTTAAAGAAAATTATTTTTCTTACTCTTTCTTGTATGATAAGACTTCTTTTAATAAATTGCAATAAAATTTTTTTAATTTTGCTGATAAAGTAATGTAGCAATTACATTAGACGCTTTTAAAAATTTATGTCTGGCATTTTTTAAAGACTAAAACACTATTTAAGTCTCTATTATTATTTAGAACTTATTTGTACTACATGTTCGAAAAAATTTAAGTTTTTAGACAATTAAAATTAAACATATTTTGTAATTAAATTTAATATTCAAAATAAATTGCTTTAAATAAAAAAAATGACTTAACTTTTTGCTATTCTAATGCAATCTAATTGAGATTAAGCGGGAAATCGGTTTAAGATATTTCCTTCAAACTAGAACTGTATGATTCTAAAGAACTTAGAGAAAAATTTCTTACACGGAGACAACCGAAGACCTACAATATGCACAGGCGATCACGAACCTACAAAACATACAGCCAAGCGAGGACCTACAATACATACAGCGAAGCGAGGACCTACAATACATACAGCGAAGCGAGAACCTACAATACACACAGCCAATCGTGGTCCTACAATACACAAAGCTAATCGAGGACCTACAATACACACAGCCAATCGTGGACCTTAATTACACATGGCTAATTGAGCTTATTTAAATGATAATGAAGAGCAAATTTTATTAAAATGAATAATCATCCAAATGATACTGATTTATGCTTTGGGGCTTTGTTTGTGATATTTTATTCATCAGACTTTGATTCACATTAGTTTTAAAATTGCTGACTGACTGGTAATGCTCTGATACTTACTAATGATCGGCATGAAAATTTTAATTTTTAGGTCATTCAGAGTTTTTGTAAATACCACCCTTAAAAACTATTTTTTTAATATTTGTTGAAATTGAAGACAAAAAATGTGTTTATATGGGGTCAAATATTAATATTAAAGCAAGGTAAAAATCAAAAATACAGAAATTCAGTCGAAATATAACAAATCATAGTACAGTGAAGCAAATGAAACAGAAAACAAGACAGTTTTGATGATGTAAAGAAACAGATAACAGGTGAAAAATGATCATTAAAAAGATATTTACATTTAAACCTCAACAATACTTATTTTTGTGCTTATTGGACATTCACATTCCTCTATTATAGTTTGTTAGATTACGATAAGCTTTCTGTTTTCAATCACTTAAATACTAATTTACAAACTCCAATATATAAACTTAGTTTTCATTTTTGATATAGATTTTTAAAGAAACATATAAATGGCCATTTTTACGGAACACCCTGAACTCTTCTAGGTCAAAGCTTAAAAATGTATATTACAGTAACGTTATGGAATTAAATTGCCAGAAAATACGCAGCATTCGATTGCAAATTCTTTATTTGAAAAAAAAAGTGTTTAAATTTAGAAAAATACGAATCTACAGTTAACGAAAAGATTTTACTTGTAAACACCCAAACAGTATTTTCTTTTGTATTAATTTTATTTATTTATCTAACATGAAAAGATATTGGTCTAACAGTTTCTCACTGTTGTCTGCGCACACTTATTGACCACGAAAATTCCATTGTAGTATTTTTAATTAAAAAACATCTGAAAATAGTTTGCAGTCCTCTGGAGGAATTAATAAAAATTATGATCCTATTTTTTCTTATCTCTTATTTGAAGGTATCTTTATTCGGTTCTACTTTGATTACAGAGGTATTTAATATAAATTGAAGATATTTCCAATTATATATGTATATATATATACGCGTGTGTGTAATATCTGTTGGTTGGACAGTATTAAATTTCTATGTCGATAACATAACCTAAATTAGGAAAAATAATCTTAAAATTATTTTTTTTATAATTTTTTTCTATTTATTTTATAACCGAACAGCCGACCCAATTTAGGGTATACAACTAATGTTACCCATGACAACCATCTCCATATCCTTCCAATTTTGAACCCAATCCAGGAGACTAATGAACTCATGGATCAAGTATTGGGAGAAATTTGACTTCGTGGAGGACTTTTTGATGGAACTAGCACGCATTTGCGTTACATGAAGAGGAAAACCACGAAAAACTCCCGCTGTTAGCCTGATTGAAAGGGGACTTTAACCCATGATCTGTCTATCACTGAGGATATTTTACCTCAGTACTGTGGTCAGTGCGAGCCGAGTGCAAAATTAGAATCAACCAACCATTGCCGGAATTCGAACCTGGTTCACCTCATTGGGAGGCAAGTGCTCTATCCACTGACTCACAACTTCTCTCCTAATTTTATTATCCTTTTGCTACCACTCAGTAAAGTCAGTCTCTACGATCCTTTTTAAGTAGGCATGAATGTATCTGGCTAAGCTGGCCTACACCCTCAGAAAAGTAAAAACTGGTTCTTAAATTTCAAAATAAATACATAAAATTAAATATGCGGAGAATAGAAATACTTTGCAGAGATTCTCTAATAATTTTTTTAATAATTAGAAAGTTAAAGAGGTGAGCTCTCGAATGTTCTTTTAAAAAATGTTGCTACCAGTTTTTAGTTTTCTGAGGACCCTGGTCACCTCACGCAATGCGGCAGTGCGGTGGTCCACACATCTCTGAAAAAAATGCGGTTTATGTAGATACTATATAAATAATTTCTTTTCTAAGATGCAGCTGAAGTTTTAAAATTACCACAAACGCTTGAATTCCATAGAATAAAAAAAATTATATTATTATGTCACAGTTGATAAGGCTTTACTTCTCTGTCACAAAATATATCAGCACAATTATCCTACAAATAACATAATATAAAATTACAAAGGACTACAGAAAAAAATTTCTGTCTTTATGTTCCATTCTACTTTTATAATTTAACATAACCGAGAATAACTTTGCACTGTAAGACAGTTGAAATCACGATGGTCATCATATATGATTGGACTCCAATTTTTTATCAGAAACTTTCCATCTAGAATTTAATGAACATAAAATAAAAACAATAATTTAATTCAAATTCCAATTCTATGATTCCATAATTAATGAGTGACCTTTATATCCTTGAATGACCTATTGAATACTTAGTTTTATCTAATACGTAATAAGTGAAAGCATGAAACCAATATATTTTAGTTGTAAATATTTTACGTTTCAAAAAAATATTGCTCTTTAACAAAAAAATCTACACGTGAAATTTTCAACCTACAAATGATAAACTCATCCTCTTTTTTATTTTATTTTATTAATAGTTTTAAGATGTTTAGTTAGTGAGCTTATCTCTTTATTAAAAACTATCAATTTGATAAGAGAATATTCTGATGCTGGATATCAAACGCGTTTTTCTAAGAACTATCTTTTTAAAGTTTTCAAGCATGTTTTTAAATAAATCATATGAACTAGCTACGTTGTCCATAATAAATTCACACATTGCGTAACTTTTTTAAAAATAAATAATAAAGTAAATAATTCTTTTTATAACACATTGTTTCGTCTCCTTAGGAAAAAGCCGAACATTTATGTACTAAAACGAGTACACTATTGCAGTAGCTAACCTTAAAACCGAAAATTAAAAATTCTCTTTCTATATAATTTTTTTAATCTTATTTTTATTACAAAAATGTAAACACATCATATAATTTGCAACACAGAAGAAGTAAGAACCACTGATACTATCTCCTATATAGTTTTCAAATAAAACAAAATTCTTTGTACAAATTAAAGAATTTTCCATTACTTATTTTGCGACTAAAAACCATTTTCATTCAATCATTCCATGTCAACAGCTACGTGTTTACTTAATTAAACAACTATCGTAGTTATTTAATTTATTTATTTACTCTTTTTGTTTGATTCTTGTAATTTTCAAAACTACTCTGAAGAGTTGAGTTAAAAAGTGTTTAATTTAA